AAAAAAAAAAGCTATCTATATATGAAAGTCATCATCTCCTTAAGAAATAGGAAAATATCCAGTCAAAACCTGAAACAGGACCTGAGAGATGCATCTGACCCTTCAGCTGATCCATCTACTGTTCACTGATGCTTCATCAGAAATGGTCTCACCATCCAATATCTGTATCTGGAAAGCACCTGATTGGCAGTGGGTTCAGACTGGCCTCCTCAGAGCCTGGACCTCACCATTACTGATGCAACATGGGATCATTTTGACAAAGAACAAAAGAAAAGGCAGCTAATATCCAAGCAAGAACTTTGAATGTCCTTCAAGAAGCCTGGAGAACTATTTGTGAAGACTACTTAAAGAAATTACAAGAAAGTTTGCTTAAGAGAGTTCAGGCTGTGCTGAAGAATAAAGGTGGTCAATAAATTGCTGCACCTAATTTCCATTTTTCCAGCAGAAATAAATGCAGAGAGGCTCAAGACTTTAAACAGTATTGTAATCCCAAACAGACCCTCGCCGTGGGATAAAGTTTAAAAGGTAATTTAGCTATTTTGGTGGCAATGAATAAGCATCGAGTAGATTGTAGATCTGGCTGAAAATGCAATGCTTTTCCTAAGTTTCTAAATATCACTCCCACTGTGAAACAAGCTGAAGCCAAACACAGAACTGGAATAGCTTTACCAAAGCAAAACCTGGCACACCATGCTTCAGCCTCCAGAATGATCAGAAAGAAACAACATTCTCATTTGGAGCTGTTTGTAGGAGAAAATGACAAAGAAGAAGAACAAAAACATGAACATCAACACTGTTTGCACATGTGGTGTTTGTTTATTTTTGCCTCTATGCTCTCTTTCCACTGTGTTTTGCTGTATTTCTCACCATCTCCTTGTCAGATGGAGGGGGGCTTGTAGGCGGAGCCTGAGTCTGCGTCGCCTTTGAAACACCACAGATGCCGCCCACAGTCTCAGGGACTGGACTCAGAGAGCTGTCAATCACTGAGGCCGCTTGCTTGGGTTTGGCCTCTCCTGCTCTATCCACTGCGAGGAAAAAGAGAGAGGGAGAAGAGGAGGGAGTTCGGATGTGTGGATGCAGCGAGCGTGGACTTTAAAAAGCCACTTAATAGGTCATCTTATATAACTGCAGTGAATCAGCGCTGGAGTGGAGGTGGAAATATCTGGCAGATGAAAATGCGTGCACGTTTGTCACCTCCTATAGAGAAAGACCCGTCGTCTCTTCTGTGTACGATGAGGCTGTCGATGTGCAGCATGACCGGCGAGGGCTCCGAGTTGGGATTATCACGAGGGTCATCATCCTGCAGGAGACACAGCACATGTTGTTGGGACTGAGTGTACCAGAGACAGAATGAGGGAGACGTTTAGTCCACATCCATTTTCTCAAATCAGTTTCACAGCAAAGCTGCTTGACCATGAAAGAACCAAACAGAGAGTAGAAAGGCCTTTTCTTTCTGTGTCATTAAACCTTTAGTTCAAATCCAAATGCCAATTAGGCCACTGTTCAAAATATTTAACTTGATAACAAGAG